CAATGAATGTTTTGTACTCTGTTACATTAAAATTTGTTGGTCTATCCTGCATTTTGAGCAGGTTTTTTGTACATGCATAATTTTGACCCCATGAACCCCCTGAAAGGGTCTTGGGAACTCCATGGGTCTCTAGATCACAATTTTGAGAACTGCTGGTATGAAGTAGCAAATAAGCTTCATGTGTATTCTATTTCACCAAGCAGCCATGTCTTTTGCAACTATGCCTAGTACCGTGAGACACAAGTAAACTAAGAACATCATCCACAATTTCATTTATTACATCAAGAAGAGCTCAAGAGCCATACTTGTTTTTTCTATCCCTGATTTTTTTTTTTTTTTCTTTTCTTTTTGGTGGCTGGCAGGTATGGGGATCTGAGCCCTTGACCTTGGTGTTATCAGCACCACATTCTCCCAAGTAAGCCACCAGCCAGCCCCCCAAATCCCTGATTTTTAAATAAAGGAAACCAAGGAACACAATGAACTGTGTTTTTAACTGTATTTTTGTGGAAAACATGGTTATTTCTTACATCACTTGTAACCAATACATGCTGGCACTGAACTGAAGCTGGAATACAGAGATAACACAGACAAGGTCCTTGCTCATGTGGCATTTACAGTCTTACAGCGCAGGAGACAGACAACAAACAAGTAAACAAATAAAGACGACAATTTCAGGTAATGGTTCCATTATGAAGAACATGAGGACTACCAGAAAATTCAACCCTGATGTTGCCTCAGAAGCAAGCGGGGAGAGTACAAATCTGCAAATTGATGTAAATTTAGGGAAAAGCCCACAAGAAAGCCCTGGGCACAGAGAAAGGGTAGCAGTGACCTGCTGTGGGCAAAGGATAGGGGAGCAGAGGAAGTCACCGCTGGGGCAGGGTGGGGCAGAGCTGCGGGCAGTTTCTCTCTCCAACCACTGTCCCTGGAAGGCCATTGCCTGCCTCCACCACCACGAGGCAAAACGTGTTAGACAGGGGTGCTAGGATAATATCAGGGCAGTGCCAGAGCCTGCCAGGGTGAAGAACTGGTAACAATGGGGGCATTTGAACCCTGAGCAACTCTACCTCCTGTCCCTTCCACAGTCTGAGGGGAGGGGATTACCAGCCAAGGCAAAACAGTCTAGGTAAAAGGGGAAGACAGTGGTACTGGCTCTCTAAGGAGCATTCGTGTATAGCATATGAGGATGGGGTAACAGGGGAGGAAGCCCAGGCTGTGGCACTGTGGGCTCCTCTTATACTCACCTGGAGGGATTCACCTGCTAGTTTAAAGCCCAGCTCCGCCACTTACTAAAGATATTGGACAAGTCATTAGCCACTCTATGCCTCAGTTTCTTCATCTGTAAAATGGGTATAACAATAGCACCTACCTCATCGAGTTATTGTGAGGATTGAGTGAGTTAATATATATAAAACACTTAGAAGCACTCATATATGCATATAAGTATATAAATAACTGCAGGGCTTTATATGGAATCTGGAAGCTGGATGCATCCCAATAGGGGATGAATACACACTACAGAACACTAGGGATCAGTTAGGAGCAATGAATCATATACATAGATGAATCTTTCAAAATTACTGTTGAATGCAAAACCTAATAACTAGAACAAGGTCTACCGCACAATACTATTTATGAAAATCTAAAACATACAGCATACCAAACAACACCTTACATTTCATAATATTACATTTATGTCCAAGAATATATATCTAATACCTTACCGTGGAAGGGGAGGGAAAGGACATGGAAACCAGGGATGAATGGGGAACGTATCCATGAAAGGTAATAATAAAGGAAATGATAGACTGTCACGACCTGAGGTGTATGACTGATTTAACACTTTTCACATGAGGCATAAGAAAATAAGAAAGAACGGCAAGTGGAAGGGAGAGGAGTAAGGTAATTTACTAGACAGCGTCCGGGCTCCAGGTGGGGCGGTGAACATTAAACAGGATTCAGGGGAGGCTTCTCCAAAGAGGTGACATTTAGGCTAAAGTCTGAACAACGTGAATCCAGCCATGTGACGATGAGGGGATGGGCATTCCAGGCAGAAGGAACAGCGTGTGCTAAGATCCTGAAACAGAAACATGACATATTCGAGAAACAGGAGAAAATGCAAGTGTGGTTGGAGCTCAGGGAGCAAACGTAAAATGTTTTAATTTTAAAAGATGGTCTGGTGAACCCTTTCCTCGTGTGCTATCTGTATATATGGTTTAGGACAACTAGTTTCACAGAATTGGTAATTCCCAAGGAGAGGGCACGTCCTTTCTGGGCTTCTGGTGACCTGGCTTGTGACAGGGAAGTGAGGTGTAAGCACCAGGCAAACAGACAACGGTAGAACAAAACTTCTCCTACGGGTGTGGAAGGAGCCAATTCCCACCCCTGGGAAGGCAGAAATTTTAGCGGCTGCAGACCTGCCATACTGAGTGCTCCCGCGGAAAGCTGGACAGCAGGGTGGAGAACTGGCTCAGCAGGGCTTTGTCACTGGCTGTCCCTGCTGTGGTCCTGCTTACCCCGAGTGCCCTCCACACTTCCTGGGCAATAGCTCCTCGCTGGGACCACTCTCCACACCTGTGCCCTCTGGTGTTTAGACTCCGGTGTCCTTCTGCTTTCTGCCCACACCTTCCCAGAGACTGGACATTTCTTGGTGTCCTTCGAAAGAGCACTTGGTGCATCAAAATACAAAAACACAAACCTGAGGTTCTCATTCTATCCTGGGGTACTGTACTGGCCTCTTGTCATCCTGCCGAGTGCTGAAACGCTCGTTCTGAAACAGAAAACAAGAAACAACAACAAGCTGTTTTTCATGAACAGAAAATCCCTAGGACAGGAACCTCATCTATCTTGATCTCCACTTATCCTCATGCCTAGAAGAATGTCGGGCCTAAGGCAGGCACTCCATAAACTGGGTTGAATGAGTTTACACACACACACTCTTAAAAAGATTTAAAAAAATATCCTGTTTTCTATGGCAAAAGCTCCAACTAGAATTCGTCTTTCCCAATATAAAAAGCATAAATGCAACTTCGTTTAGCATCAATTTTTGCTCACAAAGAATTAATTGTCCTTACTGGGACCATTAGGGGTTGTAATAATTATATTTATTAAGCACTGTGTGCCAGACACTGAATTATCTCATTTAAAACCCACAACAACTCTATGGCTTATATACTATCCTGTCCTTATCTAAAAGAAGAAAAAACTAACTAATGAGCTTTAGTAATTTTTAATCCCAGGTCACTTCAGAACACTTAGATGGACTTCTGAAACTCTGGCCAATTTTACAAAATAAAATGTATAAAAGTTATACCTGAAACAACTACTACTCTTCTGAATACTGTTTTTCTTCTCTAGACTAATCATTGGCATCCATGTAGTTAAGCATTTTTTAAAGTGCAACCATTCAAAATATACTGCTTATGGGACAGTTTGCAAATGAACACAGAGAAAGAAGTGAAACCTTCTAAGTCATGGACTATTCTTTGCACTGAGTCCTTGATTGTTTTAATTCTAGTTTCCAGCTTTGAGATTCGTTTTTACTTTTTCTTCTTTTTTGTTTTTTGTACTAATGGTTTAATTACTTTTTGTAATCATTAAAGAACATCTGAGCATTGGGACAATTTTTCTTTAGTAAACATTCTTTGTCTGAATTTGGATTCCCTGGAAATTATAGTCTGAGGCAAAATTTGCATTCTAAAGCTTTACTAGACGGGTACCAACCAAGGAAGCAAGAGTTAATGGGGACAGGGCAATGAGTCAGGAAGGAAAGGAGGCAAGAGAAAGTGGTGTATTATTGAGCTGGCCTCTGCTTCCCTATAGAGCACAACTGGCTGCCTGGTCACGTGGAAGTTTTGTAGAGAGAACACATGGAAACATTTCTTGGAAGAGTCCTTTGGGGGAAAAGAAAGGAAGAATTTTCCATGAGTTCTCTTCTATCCTCTGCCTCTCAGTGGTTAAAATTTGCTTCACTGGGTATTAACTTCCCAACCTTCTGGAATCGTTCCCTGGCCCCCCAACCCCCTGGGCAGCTATGGGGAAGCCACAGTGGCACTGCCCACGTGTGAGCCTCAGATCACAGGGCGAGTCAGGGAACAGCCACAAGCCACGGATACCCCCTTTCTGCCTGCAGCCTGCAGGCTTCTGGGCTCTGTCAAGCTTTCAGTGGTCCCAGTGGGTCTTTTACCCGGTCACAGGAAAGGCTCAAGGTAGGAGGGAAGAGGCCTGCAGTGTGAGGCGTGAGGTAGTTTGATCTTCAGCTGTGCCAACGGTGACCTGGGAGACCTGGAGCAGCTGGCAATGGGCCCAGCTGGCTGAGCAGGAGGAACATGACAAAGCATGGCTTCTGCAGAAATGGAGTTCCAGGAGCTTCTCGACAACAATGACCAAAACCACCCCTCTGCAGTTCAAAAAAAGGTGATCTTCCTGGAGGGTCACTAGTAGCACTGAGTAGAAAACAGTGGCTGAGGACCAATCAACTCAACCTGTCAGCACCCACTCATACGTGCCTCCGAGTGCACACGCAGGAGATTTCTCTTGGGTGTGCATCTAGAAGCACAATGGCTGGACCGTCCGTCTTCACCTTCACCAGATATTGTCAAATTACCCTCCTAAACAATAGCTTAAAATAGTTGCCTCTCATTGACTTAGTCTGATTCCTTTCCTTTCTTATAGGAGTGTCTACAACTCATCTATTGATCTGTAAATTCACCCTGGGGAAAAAAAATCACTGAATGTGCCTACCACAATTTCCTCCTCACTAAACTGGTAATAGGAATCTCTTGCGAAACTCACAGGGAAACTGAAAGTAAGAATTAAATGTTATCTAGGGGGTATTTTGAACTTGAAAAGAGAAGCTATTTAAATCCACATTAATTTCAAAAACAAAATTTCCCACTGTTTCCAGGAGAGGGCACAAATTCATCTTAGTTTATTTCCAGTGCTCTGCCCCGCCCTCCCTACCCTCACCCGTGTGCACACACCTGCGGGCAGACACACCCCAACTCCGACTTTGCATTCACCCATGAGATAACTAGCTTATGCCATCATTTAAGAACTCATGAAAAGCAACTCTGGGTGACTCTTTACTCTGCTGCAAGATCCTGAGTGTCCATGGGGGCTTCCTGAAGTTCCCACGTAGGGCTATGTACATATGACTTTAAGTTGTCGTTCCTATGTTATTTTTCCTCATTGATGTGGCATTTGTATACCAAGAGAATTGACAGGAGGGGTCCCAGACAGTAAGGGGTGCATTGTCAGCAGAGAATTTTTGAATAATAATAAAACAGACTAAAAGTTGGTCTGCTTTTACTATAGTCACACAATGTCAAATCAATGTAAAACACTCTCCCCACCCCCACCAAAATTTTTTGTTGGTATAAGCTCTAAAAAATTCATGCAGTCACTATTCATGCAGTTTTATAAGAAATACATTATCGTATTTTATTGCTTATTTTTAAATAAACATTGTATTCTATATAGAAGTTAAATCAGAGAAGCCCTGACATAAATGGATACATCTACATGAGCTTCTGTGAAAGCTGAGTTCCTAGCAGTGCAGAGTCCTTCCCATTCACGGCTGCTTTGGGAGCGCTTCCTGTCCCCAGCCCATGTGCAGCGATCTGCTTCTGCGTTGAAACACTAGATTTGAGGGCCGGCCCAGTGGTGCACTGGATAAGTGCGCCGCTTGGGAAGCGTGTCGGCGCTCCCGCCCAAGGGTTCGGATCCCACATACAGACCGGTTCCCGCTCACTGGCTGNTTTCAGTAATAAGTTGAGTAAGTTCTGGCTACCCAAGGTACAACATGGTGAATATAGTTAATATTAATGTGCTATATACCTAAGATTTGCTAAGAGAGTAGATCTTAAGATCTTGAGTACTGTATTGTCATCACAAAAAAAGGTAAACATGTGAGGTGATGAGTATGTTCATTACTTGATTGTGGTAATTATTCACAATGTATATGATGTATATCAAAACATCATGGTGTATAAGTTAAATATATCATTTCGATTTGCCCATTGTACCTCAATAAAGCTGGAAAAAAATAATTTATTACTTTATATTATTTTGAAGACAAAATAAAGACATTCCCAGAAATAAAGAAATTAAATAAATAAATAAAAATTGCTTTTAATAATCAAGACTGCAGGTGCTCAGCACCTACACTCTCCACAGCCAGTTCTTTGACTTGTGGTCCACCTCCCTGCAATGGAATAAAGTAGAGTTTATTGGCTGGCCAGTGAGCTCAGTTGGGTAGAACATGGTGCTGACGACACCAAGGTCCAGGGTTCAATCCCTGCACCAGCCAGCTGCCAAAATAAAATAAAGTAGAGGTATTAAACCCATTGCACTCTAAAAAATTATTGAGAACTCCAAAGAGCATTTTTTTTTTTTTTGGTGGGTTATACACCAGTACTTCAAAAAGTTCATGGAAAAATAGAAT